TGTGTGTGTGTGTGTGTGTGTGTGTGTGTGTGTGTGTGTGTGTGTGTTAATTTGTAAGTTACATTTTGACATAAAAGGGTGACGGCAATAAAAGTTTTTTAAACCAAATATTTTAAATTCCTTAAATAGTTTTTGTTTTCAGTGGGTAACTTAAAACCTTCTTGAAAAGTTGTGAAATGTTTAAGCTGAGTGATTGTTCCTTAACTTCTGGTGTGTTGTGTAGGAAGTGATGTGGGATGAGTTGGCAGAACAGAAGGAACAGGAGGAGGAGGTGAACAACTTCATTAAAGCCTGCAGAGTGATGGAGCAGAGGGTCACTAAAGACATCCATGCCCTCAGGACACACCTGGGGAGTTATGGGTACAACGCCCCCTGTGACGCTCAAACACATGGCAGTAAGTGATAAGAAAACTGGTGAACCTGGAACCACTGGTGAACCTGGAACCACTGGTGAACCTGGAACCACTGGTGAACCTGGAACCACAGTGTGCCCACTTTTATTTGAGTCTTTGTTTCACACAGAGCTGAAAGGTCAGCAAACGCAAGAAGAAATTAAAGTAGCTGAAGAGGATGAGAGCAGCCCAGCTGTGGGTGAAGATGGAGACCAGGAGGAGGATGAGGGGCTTCTCTGCTTGTCGCCTCCCCAGAAGACGCAGCAGCTCTTCAGAGACGGGATGCAAACCCCTCAGCTGTCAGATTTCGGTCTGTCTGAGATGCAACTCAAGAGAGCTATAGCTGGAGCAGAGTGGTGCTCTGAAGTTCCCCCCATGCCGGAGTTCAACCTGCCTTCACTCAGAACTCCCGTAAGGCCAACCATGGCCACGACTCCTACCTGCGCCCTGCGGATGGATGATGCTGAGCTTCAGACGCCGCAGATGCACTACTTTGGCATCTCGGAGCAAACCACGTATCTGGACAATGACTTCACTATGGATTTGTTCCGGAGACGTGTTCAGAAGCCCGAGAGGTGAGTCACGATGTTACGTATTGCCTCTGCCAAATGGAAACGGGCGGTAATGGTTTGTGACAGGCGTGAGTAGCCACATCGTATCGTTCACGATAACACCGGTAAATTAAAGAACTTGCCCGGGAAAAGGACTGATATCATGATATGCTCATTTCATGACGTAAATACGGCAGCAGATTACGCTGCAATGTTCAAGTTGTAAAGGTGAAGGCCTGAACGGAGACATCTGAGCTGAGCGCCGTTTGTCCCGACACTTTCTGAGCCCGTCAGCGTGAGGAAGACGTTGCCTTTAGCTTTTTAGCTAGCTCGCTGCTAACTTGGAGCTACGTCAGTGCAGGTGGGTGGGGCGGGGGTGCGCACAGCTCGGTTCAGTAGGCTGAGCTCGGTGGTGTTGACGCAGCGGGGTACCCCGCTTGTATAATGGTAGGGAACAGTGACTGCATCAACCACAGAGTTCTGATCGAGTCGGACCACTAAGCCTGACCCGAGTCTGCACCGACTGGAACTGAGCAGCTACTTCCTGAGGATCAGGAAGTAGCTGCTCAGTCTTCCTGATCCTCAGGAAGTAGCTGCTCAGTCTTCCTGATCCTCGGGAAGTAGCTGCTCAGTCTTCCTGATCCTC